AAAACTCTAACCGACTGAACTGACATTTGCACACCTTCATCCAGACCCTCTTAAAGGCGAAGTTTTTGAGTATTAGTTTCAAGTCCCTAGAACTCGAAAATAACGTCTAAGCTTGAGTAAAAATAAAAAAACAAAAAACAAAATGCGGTCACAAATTAAACATAACAAAACAACGCTTGTTGTAAAAACCTTGATTTGAGAACTTAACGTTTCGTAAGCTTCTGCATACATCATCAGAATCGAAGTATAAAACGGTTAGCGGCATTAAAATACATTTAAACGAGAAGACTAGTACCTAATAAGGAAAGTAAGGACAATGGATATAAATGAAAATAAACAGACTAAAATCTGCTGAAAAAAAAACATATAAATGGCAAGAAGAGAAGAAGTTTCTCACTGCCAACATTTTCATGACTTCTTTTCTTTTCTTTTCTTCTCCTCCGTTTCACCGACCACGTGACCACAAGAAACGGAGGCTCTGGGGACGAGAATGGCTGAGAGTACGAAATGAATTCTCTTCCCATGCTCAGAAAATAGGACAAGAGGTCGCGATTCTTGGCGCTGACCAAAACGAGCGCGGCCTCTGGGGACGAGAATGGTGACGGAATACCTCCTGGTACTGGTCACGCAATGTCACGTAACGTATCAAGATTTATACTGTGCTAGGAGCAAAAGCTTCTTTCTTTCTTTCTTTCTTTTCTTTCCATAACCTGCAATATGTTTAGCAGAGTAAAACGACGTAGAAAGTCATAAAACAGGGAATTTTAGTCAATCAAAGCACGCATCGAGCTCAAGTAAACCTCTTGCAAATCCCTTGTAAATCATTCCGAGATTTTGCGAAATAAAACAATAGCTACTGTGAAATTGTCCAATCACAAAGAAATCACAGCGAGGTCACCGATTTCTGCACGAACGACAACAAACGTAACGATGTCGGGGGTAGCAGCCAACGTGTTAACGCGTATCGTATCTGCTTTCCAAACTGTCGCACAGTCAAACGAAGTCCCACTGAAAACCATCGTCCTCGCCCTTTTGTTGTACGGAGTCAAAGAGTTCCTGAGCGACATCATTTTCACGTGTCCCGAAGAACACTTCGCTATTTATGGCAGTCTATTCATCTTCGGCCCATCGATTCTTCTGTTCTGCTTATCGCTACTGGTTTCGTCCTCCTTTTGGCAAGTTGTAACAGGCTGTCATCTTCTAAGATGCCGTGAAAAGAAGTTGTTATTGTTGAAGTCGAAGAACAGTGTGTTTGTCGCCTGTTTGCCGCCAGTTATATGGCTAGTGTACGCTTTTGTCGAAGAAGATTATTACGTTTGCGCCAAACTCGGGCCTCTGGACATAGCACTTGCTAAGGCGAGCACAACCGCTCTGAAAGATGCCGTGAAGAAGGAATTCTCTCACACGAAGGTTGTATCGGAATTAATTGCGTGGGGTTTGATTCTCGGGCTTGTTGTTATCTCCACCATCTTCGTCACGGTTTATCGCCTGTGCATGCCAATTGATCCTAAACTTCTGGGAGAATACGCTTTCCACGAATACGAAGCTGACAAAGCCGTCTCCCATTTCAACGAAAGGATCAAACCTCTCGCAGAACAAGACGCTTTACAGATGGTTGACAGTTTGTTCGAGAAGTACAAGGACAAAAGCCACGTGGAACAAGTCAGAACTATCGAAAACCAACTCAAGAGGTTGTTTCCAAGACATGCGGGTGTATTGAGTGGACCGTTTAGAGTGGAAACCAATACCGTGAAACCAGATCCTACGGTCCATGTACCCACGTCATATGCCTCGGGAGATATGGAGTTACAGCCAATGGTCGAGAAAATACATGCTTAAACACTTAATGTCTGGTCGACCAGACATTAAGTGTTTGTTGCCATGAGGTTTCATGAGTTTAGCTTTGTTTCTCATGAAACGTTATGGCAAAGTTCTGGGAAACGTCATGGAAGTCAGCAGCAAAAAGTCACAAGTCAAAGTAAATTTAAGCAGACAGCATTATGCTCCCTACGGAGTGCAATTATTGACATCAGTTTAGCCACTGGGGTGACGGGAATCTGTGGTGTGGCTTGTACCAGAACTTCCTGCCTGACAGTTCTGGGTTGTGGCCTTGCTGCCCTAAACAGAGCATGAATCTTCCCTACAGAGGGTCTGGACCAGTCCTAAACAGGATAGAGTTGCTTGATTGCCAGAGTCAAATGTGGTTTACACAGTATATTTGAGCAAGCCAAGATCTGAAACACCAGATAATGTTCATGGCAAGATAGTGCTTGTTAATTTATCCTCTTATTCTATGCTTGGAATCCTTTGTTCTGTATCGGTCATATAATAGACAGTGTTGTCCAACCTCTTTGTCCTAAACACGATCAAACTTTCAAACCCTCTGTATCACCCCTGCACCCAAACACGGGTCAAGTATGACCCTCTACCCCTGGGATAGTTATTGAGCCTAGGGGAAAAGGGTAGTCTTGTGTAGGACTGATGCCATGAAATAAATGTACCTTACATACATTGTGTTAAAATAATAATATATTTTAAATTCTCATAAACCTCCTCTTCTAAGTACATGCTCTTAAAAAATGTATGCCATTTTCCATTTTTTAAATAATTGAGACTACTAACAATATATCCCACCCGTGTTACAAGTCATTAACAAGCATTCTGCTGTAAGCTGATTTAAGTCATGTGACCCCATTAAATGTGGTCACATTAAATGTGGTCACATGACATCTACAATGGCATAGCAAAACCCTGACTATACCATGTTCCTCCATCATATAATCAAGATGCTATTTCATATCTCAAACGAGAAATTTTTTTCCTAAATCAAGCAAGTTGCAAAAATGTCTTGCTTGCATTATACCAAACAGACAAGAGAAAGGTCAATACTGACAGTGACGGACCAAATCATTGTTGGTGAACTGTTTGGGAGTAATTTGACTGCCAGCATGTTGTGAAACATACACATCAGTTTCAATAACCAGAGACTTAATATTATTAATAATAATAATTTATTGTCAAAGAAAAATTTTCACTAGACTCGATCTAGAGATAACCTTTGCTCAGATTGCTTCAAAATGTTGTTGACCAGTAACATTAAAGTTTGTCTTCCCGATGCATAATGATTTATATGCTTTCTTCACCCAGTGTATATACAAGTGGTTATTGGTTAGCTGTAAATGTCTATATCACTTTAAGACAAAATATGTCTTACCATGGTCTGGCTTAACAGTTTGGATTGACTGACATTTACTTGTGATTCCTCAATTTGCAGTTGACCACATTATCTACTCTTTCCCCCACCCCCCCCCCCCCCCTCACTGCTGGGGTTTTACAAAAAACCATCACCCCAAAACACATCCCTGAGCTCTGGCATTGAACCAGTCCACTTGCAAACTGGGTAAAATATACTTTAAGGCATTAAGACAAATGCTATTCTGTACATCTCTGTGAAAACAACTTTTTTAATGGTGGGGTATTCAGGGGTGAATCCAGGAATTTTAAAAGCGAATATGAAGAAGAAGGCTTCATCTCAGGGGGGGGGTACACATCCCATGATAAATCCCTGGAATTGTGTAGTTCTAGAAAATATCCATACCTCCCCCACAGAAGGGAATTTTTCTAAGTCTCCCCCACCCCTCTGGAAATTCCGATTGAGCTTCATACATTTCTTTAAATTTTTTGGTCTTACAAAACCCCTAAACCCCAGGAAATTCCAAACCCTTCTGTGGGGGCAGTGTTGATATTTTCTGGAACTGAACATTAAGACTTAGCGACATTGACTGGACTTCCTAGGAACTTGCACACATGGTGCTCTTGGACACCACTCATGACCAAGTATATGCATTTTTACCTGGAAAACTGGTAGTAAATTATTGATGCATTACTTATTTACTTTATTTGAAAAAAGTATATTCTGTGGACAATTCAGGGGTATGACCCAGGCTGATTTGTCGAAAGAATGTGGAGTGCAAAAGATAAAAAATTTTCTTCCATCCCCGGGAGAGTCATCTGTTCACCCATACAGCTGTAATTCTCCCCATATTTGAGCACATCTAGAACCATTGCCAGTGGTTGGGAAGCAGGGTTGGCACAGTTGTGAGAGCGCTCGCCTCCCACCAATGTGCCCCGGGTTCGATTCCCGGACCCGGCATCATATGTGGGTTGAGTTTGTTGTTGGTTCTCTTCCTTGCTCTGAGAGGTTTTTCTCCGGGCACTCCGGTTTTCTCCTCTCCTCAAAAACCAACATTTATAAATTCCAATTTGATCTGGATTGTCGTCAGGCACTTTATCTTGAGCCTCTGGCTCAGGTGATCGTGCAAGCACTCCCTGTTTTTGTCATTAAATTTGCATTCACATTTGTTACATTTACAATGGTGGACATAGGTGTTTTTAAATCCTGAAGCCATGAAAGGTTTGCAGCAAAGTGTTGGTTTCAGTATACAATCAGTGTCTTATAGTTCCAATTAACCTCACTGGGTTTTAGTGTTTTTTATTTTTCATTATTTGTAGGTACTGTGTAGAAGCAAGGTAACAATGCATATTAAAATGCTCAGTGTGTTTCACAATGGAACTGGGATCTTTCATTACATCTAAATTTCATTCGACTGATCAATGGATAGTATTTGTTGACACAGGCAAAAAAACAAAGATGGCTGAACAGGACAAGTGATACTAACTAAATAGTGCAATTCTTATTGAAGTTATTGTTGTTGAAAGCTTGTAACATGAAACTTGGTCTAAATCAAAGCAAATTCTGTATGTCAATGTCTTAATCAAGTAGACAAATCATCTGCCTGGGCATTCCTTGGGTGTACCCAGGGAATTTGATGTACCCCCCTTGGGGGATGGATGGATGGATAACATAATTTATACATGTTAGTTCCTCTGCGTAAGAAAAGCTTACACATCAGGGAGGCGGTGGGAATGAGGGAGGTTTAGGAATTTGACATCTGGTTGATATTGGGGTGGGGAATTTGACACCATATGGGAGGGGTTATAAGGGGGGATTGCAAAAGTTGCCTCCAAATCATGATAAAGCAAGAAGACTTTGAGAGACAACACTGTTCTTTGTAACATGACATGCTCTGTGGTGTGCTTGAAGGTGAAACATTTAATATAAACAGTTTTCCTTTTGAAATGTTAATCAGTTTTATATCTCAATGATACTTAAACAATGCTTGAGACTGAAACAAGTCACATGATTGTGTATTTATTTTTTCCAACTTTCTCACAGCGAAAGACAAAGGTAGAGTAATCTAGATACGGGCTTGATGGGAAAATCTAGACTGCGGTCAATATCGATTTTAGCCAATCGTATTCGTGAATCTGGTAGTTCCCAGTCCTTGCGAGACACGGCCGTATAATTTTTTTATACTTTTATTGTGATTGACACTACTCACAACACTGGTATGTCTACTTACACAATTTACAACAGTAATACAACTACTTACACTACTTACAATACGATGCAATTACACATGCTACTTTTTTAATCATAAACTCTTATTTGTATACAATACAACCCGTTACATAACTTACACTACTGATACTTATGCAGCTACCCCCTCCAATACATCTACTTACACAACTTAGAATACTTTACATTAATTATCTGCAATACTTGAAAAGATACTTTACATTATTTTTGATACACTACAATACTCATACAGCTACTTTACACTATTTTCGATACTAATACAGCTCCTTACGTTATTTACGATACCAATACAGTTACTTTGCACTATTTACAATACTAATTCAACTCCTTCACATTATTTACAATAAGTATACAGCAACTTTACATTCTTTAAGATACCAATACAGCTGCATTATACTGTTTGCAGAACTGAATACGAGCATTTTTTTAAACTTGAGATACACTGGTTGTTATTTCAACGGGACAAGTATATTTAGAAGAGAAAGAAATTAAAACTGACAAGACGAAAAGGAAAAAGTAGAAGTGGCACATCCTCCGAGACAAAGATATTTGGGGCAACTCAAGCACATTATATAATGTTGTCCATCTTGCTCTGAATTTCGTCAGTGTATTATTTCTAAAAGCAATTGTACGTTCACAAACGGGATGCTACATGTACTTACAATACTACAATTTGCATAACTTGCTCTACAAAACAATACAATTACTTATTTCACTTTGGCCGATACTAATACTTACACTTCTTACAATTTAGTACGATTACTGATGCTACCTACATTCATATTATAACAATAGTAGTAAAACACGAATAACTGATTTTGCCACTGAGACGGATTTGATATTGCAAACTGAATTAAACTAATTTAACTTTCGCATTTTTCAGCTTTCCATTGCAAAGATAGCGCTGACTTCAATTCAAGAAAATTGAAAGTATTTTTCCAACATTTTGCAATAATAATAATATTTTTGAGTTTGCACAACTAAAATCCCAAACTTCCAGGTTAGGTTTGGGCTTGTATTCATAGTCCTTAAATGGTAGCTGTATTTTAGATGGTGTAAAATTAACTCTATGCTCATTATTGAATCATGTAAGAACTTCTTGAGAGAGGTTTAGGCCAACAGGACACTCCAGAAATGCATGTTCCAAGGAATCAGGGGATTTACAGAAAAAACAATCTTCGCTCTCGGATATTTTGAATCTCTCGAGCTCCTTTTTGGTCACTAAAATACGGTGTAATAATTCAAAGGAGAATTGTCTCAATTTGTTGTCGGCCGAGAGGTGAGGTATATTTTTGAATCATTCTTTCCATTTATCTTCTGTGCCAGAGTAATGTTTGACCCAAGACCTGACAGCTGTAGGTGTAACCTCTGATTTTCTTGGAACAGAAGATGGTAGTCTTTACATTTCATTTACACGGCCGTATAATGATATATGGCAAGTTAGTCTTTGTGGAAGATCCGAGCGTCCTGATTGGTTCTCTCATGGTCGGGATTTTGCCATACGGATCATCTCCAACGAAACGGCCACAACACGTTATTTTTTTCGAAAGCCGGCAAATTCAAGATTTGTGACTAAAAATGCCATACAATAAAACACTTCTGAACTAGCTTGCTCGAGCTGTACTGAACCTCGCTACGCTCGGTCCCCACTTCCACGAACTCTGGCCAATATCCGCCAGTGCGAACCTCGCGCTCGGTTAATAAGAGATTACTAACAACACAGAACTGTGATTGATATATACCGATCAGAATTTTAGTGTACAACAACACTAAGAAATTCAATCGTAACACACTTTTACTTTACCAGCAGAGTTGCGAGCGTTTTGAAGCCGGTTGCATTCCTTGGAATTGCTAGCCAGCCCGCATCCGTATTTGAGGGTTGTTCCAGTCACTTCAAAATTCTTCAAAAAAAAATTCTCGAAAATACTTTTTTCTTCTCTTTCTGCTGATTTTAAGTATGTTTAGTGAAAACACCTAAAATCTAATTAACATAGAGTAGGGCACGCAGATTCACTCATCACTGGTGTAGCCAGTATTTGTTAAGACGAAACACACACACATTATATTTTTAATCTTTTCAACGACCTAAGGTCAGATAGAATCAAGAACCACTTAGCAAATGCTTGTGTGGAATAATAGGTTGTTGGCGAGTTACTTTGGCACAATACGATCTGGATCGTTTGCTAAGGTATTCCGTCACTGTTGTGCGGTTTAACTTTTCAAATATCACATGATTTCTTAGCTTTGCAGGTGCCTCTTTCCTGATGTACTCGACAAATTCTCACTCTCTTTCTGCCATCTTTAGCCGACGATCATCGTCCCTACGATGTAGAAGATTTCCACCAGTGACTGGAGCAAACAGGAGTGCTTGGCCACCAAATTTGACTTCGACAGCGATCATAGCTTTCCTGTTACTACAAAAAACGCATCCTCGTTCATACTGTACCGGATAAGGAAGGATATGCTCAATAGCTCTGTAATGGTAAGCGTTAAACAATGCATCATAGAACACAGTGAGAAGGACTAGCGATGCGTTCTTTATACCACACGACTTTTTCCTGATGTTTAGAATATGGCCTGCTCCATGATGGTCATAATTCAACACACCTATCACTGGTTCGTAATCTAACAGCCAGGTCTCCACAGCGCGGAAAGGCGACAGTGTTTTCAGGTCGGCAGGGGCAGATTTGTTGTACTCGAGAGTTGTGTCGTCGTTTAGAAATATGTAATAATGATAGCGCGGTCTTCTATCCATTGCGGCAAAGAAAAGTACATTTCGTCCAGAAGCAAACAGAGTGTTGGGATCAAACAAGTAACTCACATGTGATTGATTGATACAACGTATCAACAAATCGTGACCTTTTCACTGGCGTGACCTTTTCACTAGCGACGACGACGACGACGACTAGTTATATGGCTAGCTCCGTGAGCGGGCAAGATGAATCAAATCCTGCGCTATGATTGGCTACCGTCTCGGTCCATCTGAAACACGCAGCAAAAAAAGAACTTGGCCAATATCTAGCCATCTTGACCGAACAAGCTTGGTCAATAACCCATACTTCCTTTTTTTCGTTGACAATTTCATATCTCGCTTCAGAACACCTACAAAGTTATTATCGATAACCCGTCACGCACAGATACTAAAACGTTTTCAGTTCACTGTTTTTGCAATAAAAGATTAGTTTTCTTTAACAGGAATAAAACGCAGCAGAGAAAACACTTTTCACTTTCGTCGAAATAAATTTCAAGAAATATCGCCAAAGCTAACCTCAAATTGGATGAATCCACAAGCGATGCGATAGTCTTTTCTGAAGGCTAGCATTGCGAATGAAAATTCAATTCTTACTCTTCAATTCTTACTGCAGCAAACGGAAGTAGTTTTTGTTTTTGTATCCGAGTACATCTTAACTGTTTTTCCACCGACCCTAGACAGATTTTCTGAGATAATTCTCTTGACGAACGTCTATGGTCTAAACGTTCCGCCAAGGTTCTTTGCCGTCGCCATGGCCGAAATCACATCGTACCGGCCGTTCTTTAGATTCTCAAATATGTGAAAAAACTAACAATTTGCGATCATATATTCGCCTCAATGTTAACCCTTTGAGCCCCAATTACGCATATATATGCGTAATTAATGGTCGTGCTCTTTCTACCACTTGTGACGTCATCAATTTAA